CCTTCACTATCCTTCACTATCCTTCACTATCCTCTGCAGCACGAAGAATGGTGGAGACGCCGTCCAGGAGATCCTGTTCGTGACGCCAAATTGTAGCGGGGAAAATTATTTACCTTTTTACTCCAGTTAAATAAACAGATGGATGGTTTTCACTCAGTCGGTACTTCATCATATCTTTGCAAAGAGAGAACGGTTCCTCATACGACTCTTACTGCTCGGCAATCAGCCCTGTTCTGCCTGAGCAGCGTTTATTCCTCCCTATTTACAATTACAGACACTTTAAATAAACTTAACATGTTATGAATAAACCTGGAGAAAGAATCTGGTTGGTTTTTCTCTGGTCTATAAACACCATCACATTGTTTGACCTTGCAAAACAATGGCTGACTGAGTGAAAAACGTTTATAGTGAGTAAATCTAGGAAATGTAAATGTTAGGAGACACTGGATTTAACGCAGAGCACCCGACATTCAGCAGGACAAGAAACAGAAGTAAATCTCAGCCATCGAGCAGAGGAGCAGCTGATTGGATTAGCTGGCCCGGTGGGCGGAGTTAAAGCCAATGAAGCTGGTTCAGCCCCCCCTCCCCAAAGCGTTCCTACCCCCAGCTCCTCTGCGATCTTCTCCCAGTTCCTCTCCCGGTGTCTCCTGCAGATCTCATTAAGCTGCTCCACCTCCTCGTTACTCCAGGGACTTTTGTTGATGGACGGATGGAGGAAGTTCTGCCAGAAGAGACGGATGTCCTCTGCGTCCCTCGTCCCTTCAAACTGAGGAAGAGGAGCAGACCTGAGCGGAGCCGTCGGCTCATCCATCCACCGGTCGCTTCATTTACTCACGTCGATGTTGGAGATTTTCTGCCAGTCATGTTCTTCGTATCTGTCCCCGATCAGCTCATCCTCCTTTTTGGACCTGACCAATCAGGGCACAGAACCGGGCGGGTGTTAATGTTGGAGGTGGTTTACCGCCACAGGTTGTTTACCGCCACATGACCGACCACCTGCCGGTCTTTACAGTAATTGGTGGTGAGAATGTTATAGAGCAAAAGGAATATTTTACATATAGAAGAATAAAATCAGAACAATTAATGCAGATCTAAGAGAGGATTTACTAAGACACAATTGGAGGGAGGTTTATGAAGAAAACGTTAGCAACGCATTCGGCATATTTCTTACAAAATTCAGAATGTTCTATGACAAGCATTGCCCATTAAAAAGTATAAAAATAAATAAAAAAGAAAATGAATGGATGTCAAAGGGGCTTATTAACGCTTGCAAAAAAAAAAAAAAGCTATATAAGGAATTTATCAAGGAGAAAACAATAGATGCTGAAAAAAGGTATAAAAATATTTAAAAAACTCACAAGTTTAATAGGAAGAATTTAACTTGTTTTTGTAAATGTGGATTCCAATTTAGCGGATCAAAGATGATGACGAGGCAGAAGCTGAAGCTATTAGAAATGAGGAAATAAACTCAAACCAAAAACCTCTGCAGCTTTTAATAACATTGACATGGAATCTATAAAATAACTGATTAGAGTATATTTATAAAAACCACTGAGGTCTGTTTTTAATTTATCCTCCAAACTGGAAGATTTCCACATTAAATGAAAACCGCCAAAAATGTTCCGTTATATAAAGCTGGAGAAAAACATTGTTTTACTGATTACCGTACCGAAACGGTTCTGGTCCGCAGCCCGGGTTAGATGGGTCTGGAAAATGAAACGGTTCTGGTCTGCAGCCCGGGTTAGATGGGTCTGGGAAATGAAACGGTTCTGGCCCGGGTTCAGCCCGGGTTAGATGGGTCTGGGA